TGTGGTTTAACGTCCTACTGTTCTGCTCCTAACTGGGCTAATGAAGACGGGCATACGCCATACAGTGTGCTATGAGGGAAATTTTGCCCGGGCAGCGGCGCTACGGCCTACTCTTATACCGAATTCCAACTGCCAAGGGATCTTTTACGTGCACGCCAATGTGTACACGGGACCTCGGTTTTTCGTCCCATCCGAACGACTAGACAGCTGTCCTTGTCAGGCCCTCCATCCTGCATCACTGACAAGGGGAAACCACGCCTGAAAATCTGAATGAACTTACTCGGCCAATGCAGGGATTGAACACCCGACCTCCAAGCTAGCGAGCCAGCGTCTTACCCACTTAGCCACGTGATCCCCTCCTTTAAATAAAGTTGATTATAAATGAACATAGAAGTAAATACTTAACATCAACATGTTATGTGGGCTATATAACTCAAAAAATATATCTTAAACATTGTGCAAACACGTCAAACGATAACCTTTGTCAGCAACAGACATAAATACAGTCACAAAGTGTTCGAAACGGTAATTCAGGGGGAACCCCCCTAGGCCTACCACCTCCTTAATGGTACAAACCAAAACAAATCATCGATACCGTAGTATTATTTTCTCTGTCACCTTTACGCAGGTTCGAGCCAAATGCAACAACTCTATGTCGATCCTTATGGTGATATTATTAAACCACGCGATAGTTTTTCTCCGAAAAATATGATCGAGCCCATGCACACGGCCGACGCCGATATACGATTACACAAAAATGTCTTACCGGCTAACAGCTTGGCGGGTCGGCGGCTTACAGCTTGGCGAGTCGGCGACTTACAGCTTGGCGGGTCGGTTAAAAAGTGCAATTTATACACTGTGACATATTTTGTCTGTGTCCCAAAAATCCAAGGAAATGAAATGAAATGGGGTTTAACGTCCTACTGTTCTGCTCCGAACTGTTCTAATGAAGACGGGCTTACGTCATACAGTGTACTATGGGGGAAATTTTGCCCGGACAGCGGCATTACGGCCTACTCTTATATCGAATTCCAACTGTCAATGGATCTTTTATGTGCACGTCAACGTGTACACGGGACCTCGGTTTTTCTTCCCATCCGAACGACTAGACAGCTGTCCTTGACAGGCCCTCTTTCCTGCATCACTGATAAGGGGGAACCACGCCGGAAAATCTGGGTGAACTTTCTCGGCCAATGAAGGGGTCGAACACCCGACCTCCAGGCTAGCGAGTTAGCGTCTTACCAACTTAGACAGCAGAAATGGATCTGTGTTATACCTTGAGTCTAATGAGTGTAGAAAATAACAAATACCAATTTGCAATTCATATATCATTTTACTATCCCATATGTTAGCTATATATAATACTTTAAAAGGCTTAATAGAAAATAACTTACCGCTCCATTTTGTGATGTACTTTGTCACATTACTATAGCGTCTTCTTGTTCCTGAAAGAAACATTATTGTTAAATTGAGAAAGGAAATATATGTTTCTATTAAAGGGTGTATGACTCTATGCTTTGGAACCTTAAAAGAGAAGAGGGTGGGTGGATGGCCGAATGGCTAGCGTTTGCGTTTTATCATAAGGTTTGTCAGTGAGTCAACTGGCGTGGTTACGATTCCCCGGTCGTACGTGACAAGGAGTAAGGTCGCCTGTCGAACCTCTTGGGTTTTCGTCGGGTCCTCCGGTTGCCTCCCACTGCCAAAGACCACTACGCGCAAGCGAATTATTGAAATTCAATTGAACCTTATGTTAGTCCCGAAATGACCTGGTTTGTGTCGAGTGGACGTTAAACCTCTCTCTCTCTCTCTCTCTCTCTCTTTGCGTATGATAAAATTTTCGTATGATAAAATTTTCGTATGATAACATAAGTTGTTACCTAGCCACGATTTTATTTTTAACAAATTTAACTTTTAACGAGAGCATCGCTATCGCTGCAATATACGTCCACATTCCTGCTCTGACACACGTAGTACCTTTTAAAATAAAGAAGGCCTGACATTGGCTTTGTTTTTTTTTTGCCAAATTTACAGGCTAAATTTAACAAAACGTTGGTGTGACACTGCCCCTGGTGGCCGGGACCTGCACCAAAATACATAGTTGCTATTCTTACGGTATAATGAAATAAATATGCCAAGTTCTAAGATTATCCATTCTGATTCACAAACAACGCAAAAATTGGTCGTGACTCTGCCCCTGGGGTTTGGACATAGACCAATATAAATAGGCACAACCCTATGATGAATTATGATGAATTGGATCCCAATCTGTTAATAATTGCAACTTGTAGATTATTTACAGACAAAATATTAAACGAACAGTGGATGTGGAAACACCCAAGGGGGAGGACCATGTACCAATATCAATAGTAGTCGCGCTTGGGGTATACGGAATAAGTATATTAATTTCCAAGATAATAATTTCAGAATTGTGGCCTTCTGGACATGTACCAAAATCAATAGTTGCCACACCTAGTTTATAAGAAATACATATGCCAAGTTTGAAGATGATCCATTCAGAATTAAGGCCAGTATACGATAAACACAAAAATTGGGCGTGGCTCTGCTCCTAAGAGTCCGGACATGCACCAAAATCAATAGTTGCTGTCCTTAGGCTATAAGGAATAATTATATCAAGTTCAAAGACGATCCATTAAAAATTGTGGGCTGTAGGCAACACACAAACACACAAAGCAAAAATGGGCGTGGCTCAGACGCTGGGGATCGGGCATTCGCCAAAAACATTAGGATCATCCTTACGGTATAAGGAATAGGTAAGCAAAGTTTCAAAAGGATCTGTAAACAATTGCGGCCTGTAGGCGACACAAAGACACACAAAAAACTTGGGCGTGGCTCTGTCCCAGGGGGTCGGGCATGCACCAAAAATAATAGAGGTCATCCTTAGGGTATAAGGAATAAGTATGAACAGTTTTCAAGACGATTCATTAAGAATTGCGGCATGTAGGCGATACACAGAAACACAAAGAGAAAATGGGCGTGGCTCTGTCCCTGGGGGTTGGGCAGGCGCCAAAAACAATAGGGGTGATCCATAGGGTATGAGGAATAAGTATCCAAAGTTTCAAGATGATCCGTTAAGAAATGCGTCCTGTATAATATGACAAACAAACAAATACAAAAAATGGGCGGCGCTATGTCCCAGGGGGGTCGCGCATGCACCAAAAACAATATTGATCATCCTTAGGGTATAAGGAATAAGTATATAAAATTTCAAGACAATCCATTAAGCATTGCGCCCTGTAGAAGACCCACGGACACACACACACACACAGGCGTGACGGCATAATACATGGGGACGTATGAAACCAAGTGGGGTAAACGAAGCCTTTTCCACGACAAATCTAAGATTTAGAAGTTTTATTCTGGAGTTTTTAATGTAATACTGTTCTGCTCTGTTTTCAGAATGCTTTGTAGTCATAGTCTGCCCCATCAATGCATAATCTATACTACTGTAAACTAATCTAGAATAATAGTAAGTGATAATTTATTTTTTGAATTATTAGGTATTGCCCCTGTGATCAGGCCCGTAACTTTGTACAGGGGCAAAAAGTTTCGGTCCCCTCCGAGAAAACATTTAATTTTCGACCATAAAAAAATAGACATACATTGCCCGTCAAATTTACAGCCCCCATGAGAACACCCCCCCCCCCTCCACCCCACCCCCTTCTCGTTGCTCTGAGCTAGTTACGGTCCTGACTGTGATCTGTTTGCCAAGATAAAAAGTCAATAACGACCTGTAGCTATTAATATTCCTGCCATGTTGTTGTTTATTACAGATGGGGTGGGGGTGGATGGCTGAATGATTAGCATGTGCGCGCTGTATCATACGGTCTGGCATTGAGTCAACTGGCGGGGTTATGATTCCCCGGTTGTACGTGACAAGGAGTAGGTTCGCCTGTCCAACCTCGTGGGTTTTCTCCCGGTCCTCCGGTTTCCTCCCACTGCTAAAGAGCCCTACGCGCAAGCGAATTATGGAAATAAAATTGAAACATATCTTAGTCCCGAATTGTCCTAGTTTGTGTCGACTGGACGTTAACACCCCCCCCCCCTTCTTTCTCTTTCTTCCCCCCCTCTCAATCTCTCTCCCTCTCTTTATATTACCGAAGCCTGTTTAAATATCTGTTGGTGTGCACGGTGCAGTCCTCTCTCGCACTCACCATTAGCGATTCGACAAAACCACAGGTGAGCCAGCACGTTATTCGTTATAACGCAGAATCCCGAATAACGTGACGAAGGGGGGGGGGGGCGAATGGTTAGCACGTGCGCGCTGTATCATAAGGTCTGTCAATGAGTCGATTGGCGTGGTTTCGAATCCCCGGTTGTACTTGACAAGGAGTAGCATCGCCTTCCAATCTCGTGGGTTTTCTCTGGATCCTCCGGTTTCCTCCCACTGTTAAAGACCCCTACGCGCAAGCGAAATATTGAAATAAAATTGAACTATATGTTAGTCCCGAAATGGCCTAGTTTGTGTCGAGTGGGCGTTAAACACCATTTCTCTCTCTCTCTCTTTTATTACAGATTTTACCTCCAATGCAATAAATATGATATTATGGACAGGTTGATTTAATTAAATTATTTAATTTTATACCATAACAATTTGTGTTTATATAGCTACAGAAGAGATCAGCATAAGACAGTAATACAACAATGATATTTAGCATGCGTCATTGTTTAACGCTTGATTAACCAACATAGAACAAGTGTCTCCTGGTCTTCAACGTGTCCCACGACTGTCCAATCTGACCATTAGTCAGACCATCTCTATATGATAGCCATAAAGAAACATAGGGTAAATGATCCTACCTTGCAACTTGCATATCCATTCCGTTTCATTTAACTTAAGGTTTAGGGGCCGCTTTTCGTTATGCTATTTTATTTCCCTTAGCAACGTTACAAATAAACAAACCCCCCACATTAAAAGCATTAAGGACATCTCAAGGTCAGGATAAATTACTCTAAGGTATGGTTCAAATTTCAGGCTATGT